TAACAACATGAAATTGACAAATTTGCAACATCCGTGCGTGAAATCCGTGAGTGATCATTCATAAACTGCATTTAAATGATTGCTGTGACTCTATGATTCATAGTGCAATCCTGTAACTTTCTGGAAATCTTTACTAATGTTTAAAATATTATTTAAAAAAAAAAACTATACTGGTGAAACTTATATTGTCCGAGGAATTAAAGTTTATTTATCTAGTAACTAAAATAGAAGTTTTTCTGTTCCGTGCGTGATTCCATTTTATACTTTATTTATTCTTTGTTAACATTACTAATTCTTACTATATTTTGTTTACAAAATATTTATATTGATTAGAATTAAATGAGAGTAAATTGGAGATCGCTATTATTATTTTTATGAAAATAAAAGTAAAAACATATACGAGTTTCCGTGTGTGATATTTTGGAAATGCCCATATATATATATATATATATATATATATATATATATATATATATATATATATATATATATATATATATATATATATATATATATATATATATATATATATATATATATATATATATATATATATATATATATATATATAATATAAGTTGATTTCAATAAAAAGGAAGTGTATAACGATTTAAATGTATTTTGAATAATAATATATTAACTTTTTTAATATATTAAATTATTTTGATATGTTAATATGTTATTATATCAAAATTTATTTAAAAATAGTATATACTACCTTTATATTGAAATCAACTTACATTTTATAAACAAAAATATAACTTTTGAATATATATATATATATATATATATATATATATATATATATATATATATATATATATACACACACACATATATATATATATATATATATATATATATATATACATAAATTAATTAAATTATATATATATATATATATATATATATATATATATATATATATATATATATATATATAATTATATATATATATATATATATATATATATATATATATATATATATATATATATATATATATATATATATATATATAATTTAACTAATTTTTGCTCTGTTATCTAAAAAAAATGAGCACTCTATTTTGCAAAATACATTTAAAATTATTCATAATTACATAAATATATATATATATATATATATATATATATATATATATATATATATATATATATATATATATATATATATATAGTAGTAGAAAATCACTTAGCAAAATTTTTTTTCATTTAACACTGTGTAAAAAATTTTTGCCAAGTCATTTTCTACTACTTTATAATTGCTCTGTTCTTTTATGAACATTGAGCACTCTATTTTGTAAAATGCATTTTAAAATTGTTTAAATATATATATATATATATATATATATATATATATATATATATATATATACATACATATATATATATATATATATATATATATATATATATATATATATATATATATATATATATATATATATATATATATATATATATATATTTAAAAAGAAAAACACATCAAAAAAATATACATTAATACCTGTACAAGTTTTGCAAACCACATTGTATTCAGCAATTGTACTACCTTGACATTCAAGGTCAATAAGATTTGTACATAAAGCGCAAGATAAACATGTAAATGATGCTTGTTGACAAATTGAGCAAGTATTCATTTTAATTAAACTGAAATAAAAGTAATTTAGATAAGCAAATAAAGATAATTAAAAGTGAATTAAAATGACCTAATCATTTTTCTAATCTTTTGTTTGTTCCAAAGCATTCTAAAAGATTATAAAACATTAGAATCTATTAGAAGTAACTTTGGATAATGAAACATTTACTTATGTTTAATATATATAACTACTTACTAATAATTAGATTTATTAAACATTAGATTTAATTATAAAACAGCAAAAAAGAATTACTTCGGTTTGGAATCAAAACCATAAATAATTATAATTGATATGTTATTATAACCACGTTTAAGTGCGGCCAAACTTTAATTTGATTATGATAAAATATCAATTATTATTATTCATGGCTTTTATACTATAACATTTATTAGGGAAGCCATAATTTTTTTATCGTACGAGTATTGTTTATTTTTATCATACGAGTAAAAGAATATATATTAATATATATTATTTATCATACGAGTGTTGTTTGTTTTTTTCCCCAAGCCATACTCGTACGATAAAAAATTATATTAAATGTTATAGTTCTAATTCACAAAATAACCTCGATTACTTCCACAAATATAGCCTGTGACATAAGGGCTCACGGAGCCCTTATGCTGCTAACAAACGGGCTCAAATTGCAGCGTAAGGGCTCAAATCGCAGCATAAGGGCGCGCAAAGCAACATGAGGGCTTTTTACGTAGCGTCAGGGCTCTTAAAATGCAGAGTAAGGGCTCACAAAAACTACTACTACTACTACTACTACTACTACTACTACTACTACTACTACTACTACTACTACTACTACTACTACTACTACTACTACTACTACTACTACTACTACTACTACTACTACTACTACTACTACTACTACTACTACTACTACTACTACTACTACTACTACTACTACTACTACTACTACTACTACTACTACTACTACTACTACTACTACTACTACTACTACTACTACTACTACTACTACTACTACTACTACTACTACTACTACTACTACTACTACTACTACTACTACTACTACTACTACTACTACTACTACTACTACTACTACTACTACTACTACTACTACTACTACTACTACTACTACTACTACTACTACTACTACTACTACTACTACTACTACTACTACTACTACTACTACTACTACTACTACTACTACTACTACTACTACTACTACTACTACTACTACTACTACTACTACTACTACTACTACTACTACTACTACTACTACTACTACTACTACTACTACTACTACTACTACTACTACTACTACTACTACTACTACTACTACTACTACTACTACTACTACTACTACTACTACTACTACTACTACTACTACTACTACTACTACTACTACTACTACTACTACTACTACTACTACTACTACTACTACTACTACTACTACTACTACTACTACTACTACTACTACTACTACTACTACTACTACTACTACTACTACTACTACTACTACTACTACTACTACTACTACTACTACTACTACTACTTACTACTACTACTACTACTACTACTACTACTACTACTACTACTACTACTACTACTACTACTACTACTACTACTACTACTACTACTACTACTACTACTACTACTACTACTACTACTACTACTACTACTACTACTACTACTACTACTACTACTACTACTACTACTACTACTACTACTACTACTACTACTACTACTACTACTACTACTACTACTACTACTACTACTACTACTACTACTACTACTACTACTACTACTACTACTACTACTACTACTACTACTACTACTACTACTACTACTACTACTACTACTACTACTACTACTACTACTACTACTACTACTACTACTACTACTACTACTACTACTACTACTACTACTACTACTACTACTACTACTACTACTACTACTACTACTACTACTACTACTACTACTACTACTACTACTACTACTACTACTACTACTACTACTACTACTACTACTACTACTACTACTACTACTACTACTACTACTACTACTACTACTACTACTACTACTACTACTACTACTACTACTACTACTACTACTACTACTACTACTACTACTACTACTACTACTACTACTACTACTACTACTACTACTACTACTACTACTACTACTACTACTACTACTACTACTACTACTACTACTACTACTACTACTACTACTACTACTACTACTACTACTACTACTACTACTACTACTACTACTACTACTACTACTACTACTACTACTACTACTACAAGGCTGCAAGCAACCACTATAAGAGTTGGAAGTTACTGGAAGAGAAAAGACTAAATCTGTAGAGCAAGATAACGATTGACTGATGACTTAAAAGATTGCAAATTATATGAATCAGGAAAGCAAGATGAAGGAAGCGAATTCCAAAGAACTGATGTTCGAGGAAAAAAACTAGAAGATTAAGAGTTTTTGAAGCACTTAGGAATAGTCACAGAAAAAGGATGAGACTTAATTGAATGGCAAGTAACACGAGAATGAATTTTAGTAGATGGCACAAGGGACGCTAGCTCCTTAGAGCAGTGCCCATTATAGTATTTGTAGAAAAGAGAAAGAGAAGCAACATAACGACGATGTGACAAAGGTTGGAGATTGGCTGCCAGAGCAGGTCCAACTATGTTTACAATTCGTTTTTGTACCTTGTCTAAAAGAGAAAGAGCATCATTAGAAGATCCGCCCCAGATGTGGCAACAGTATTCCATACAGGGACCGATTTGAGATTTATAGAGATAGAGAATAGAATCTGGAGTAAGAAAGTGTAGAGCTTGATAAAGAGATGCAACCTTAGCAGATGCTAATTTTGCAATGGATTTGATATACGGTTTAAAAGAAAGATCAGAAGTAAGAGTTAATCCTAGAAGATGAATGGTAGATGACTCATCTAGTACATTACCATTTATAAATATAGGAAGATCTAAATTATTACGATAACGATTGGCCGAATAAAATTGAGTTTTATCTGAATTAAAGTTCACCAGCCACTGTGAGCGCCATGCTGTAGCAGAAGTGAGATCCTTTTCAAGCTCATATACCCCCTCCAAGCAATCAGAGAGTGTAGGCTTCTTATCATGACAAGAGTAAATGGTAGTGTCGTCAGCGAATAATGCCACCTTAGATGTGAGAATATCTGGAAGATCGTTAATGTAAATTAAAAAGAGTATAGGGCCAAGGATTGAACCTTGAGGAACCCCTGAAGTTACAGGATGTGAAGAAGAGTGTTGTCCATCGAGGACAACTTTTATACTACGATTGGAAAGAAAGGACTCAATAATCTTAAAGACGTTACCAGCTACACCATAAGATGAAAGCTTATGGAGAAGACCGGCATGCCAAACTTTATCAAAAGCTTTAGAAATGTCAAGTGCGATAGCCTTAACCTCTCCGCCTCTATCTAATGCACGGTAAAACCTATCGGTTATTACTGTTAGCACATCAGCTGTAGAACGAGAAGACCGAAATCCATATTGATGATCAGAAAGTAAGTTATTTGATTCAAGATGAGAGATTAAGTGTTTGTTGATTAAAGATTCAAAAACCTTGCTTATGACAGGAAGAAGACTAATGGGACGGTAGTTAGATGAATCAGATCGCTCTCCGGAATTTTTGAAAATAGGGATAACAGATGCTGCTTTCCAGAATGATGGAAAACAAGACTCTGATAAGCACTTGTTAAATAGTTTAGAAAGTATGGATGAAAGCTCCCGAGAACACCTCTGCAAGACTACAACAGGAATGTTGTCAGGACCACAAGCTGTTGAAGAGTCTAAGCAGGAAATTACTTTAGATACAGAAGCTGAAGTGATGCGAATGTCAAGCAAGGGATCAACCTGTTTGACGGCTATGTCAGGTAAAACGCAACTAGTGGAATCAAGAGATGATATTGATGAAAAGTTCTTAGCAAACAATTCAGCTTTGTCTTTAGGTGAGGTGACAAAGTCTGAACCATACAAGAGAGAAGGAATAACAGATTTGCCCTTATTATTGATACTGTTAAAGATTCTCCAGAAGTCTTGAGAGCCTAATTTTTGTGATGAGATACGAGATTTAATGACCTGGGAATAGCGAGCTTTGGCGTCAGACAAAACCTTTTTACAATGGTTTCTGGCGATAGTGAACAGATGTCTGTTTTCAGGAGAATTGTTTTGCTGATAGATATGGAAGTAATGGTTTCGATTAGAAATTGCTGCAGCGCAATGTGAGGAAAACCAAGGAGAAGAGTGAGGCTTGACCTGGAATCGTCGAGAGGGAATAAAAGATTCCATGCCAGCCTGAATCCACGAAGTTATGTAAGAAGCACATTTGTCAGCAGGAAGACGAAAGATTTCTACCCAAGGGCCATCACGAAGAAAATCACGGAAAGAGTCCCAGTCAGCTTTAAGGTAGTTGTATGTGGTACGATGATAGGGGGATTCTGATGAAGTAGAAGAATTTGATAATAGTTTTAGAGAGATCAAACCGTGATCAGAAGTACCTAAGGGTGAATGTGGAGAAATTGAGCACTGACTAGGATCCAAAACAAGACATAAGTCGAGTAGAGAAGGTAAATGATTAGGGTTGTCTGGAAAACGAGTTGGAAAGTTGACTATTTGAGTTAGAGATTGAGAAAGGCAAAAGTTGAGGGCCTTAACGCCAGCAGAGTCACTGACACTAGAGCCAAGCCAATCGGTGTGATGGGCATTAAAGTCACCAACAACGACGACATTGGCCGATGGATAAAGAGAGAGGGCTTGGTCAATTTGATCAGAAATAACATCAAGAATAGTGCAATCTTGGGATGAAGGAGAGCGATATAGAACAAAGAGAAAGGCGATAGAGTGAAGTTGTGCTAAACGAAAGCACATAAATGAATAGTCTGTAGATTCAAACCTAGTTTCACGACAAATGGGTGAATTCTTACGAATGTAGATGCCCAGGCCAAGCATGTGATTATTGGAGTCTTTACGAGTTAAAGGAAGATAA